CAAAAAAAAAAAAAAAAAAGAACATGTGCTATTATAGAGTTTTAGGCACAAGCAACTGAGGTAGGGGAAGCTGGGGATCAACACATCCTTGTTCGGGGGCTGTACCAGGCAGGGAGGGAGAGCCTGGCCAGCAGGTGAGGTGAGGTGATGATGAGAGAAGGCACCCCTGTAAAAAGAACAGGCTGGGGGATACCCAGAGTCCCTCCTCCCTGCTGGTTTCCATAATCAGACCCTGTTGTTGATGGGACAGACAATACTTCACCAAAATATTCAAGTGGCTGTGATAGCAGGCTCAACAGTGTCTTAAAGTCTTAAACAGTCAGTACAGACAGAATCTTAAAGTCTTAAGGAAGCTTAAGTCATAAAGAGAGTGAGGTCTTAAGCTTCTGAGGCTGGCACAGATGAGTGGGAAAGGTTTCAAGGTAGCAGAAACTTTATCCCTAGTCTTGAATGGCTGAGTCTCTCTGATTCTTGAAGACCATTGGCCTTGGCTGCTTTTTAAATGCTGACTGAGGAGCTGTGCTGCTGTACAGCCACTTTTGCAAAAGCCTAAATCCCTTCTCCCCACCATGGGTAGACTGGAAATGAAGTGAGCTCTGTGCAAACTCTGTAAGCACCACTGCCTGTCATGAAGCTGACTCAAAGGCACCCCCCAAGGCCATGAGCCAAGGTGACACAACTGAGGGTATGACATGCTGGTGGGGGCAGAGCTCCAGGGTGTGGTAGTGGGGAAAGGCATCTGGAAGCAAAGAGGAAAGTGACCTACCAGAAGTACCATAGCCTCTGTATGGACAGAGCCCGCACACAGCAGCGGGAACCACAGCAGTCTTCATAGGAGCGGCATCTGTGGAGAGAGGGCACAGGCTGGTCACTCCACAGTCATGCAGTCCAGGCCAGGTTCCAACACAACCTTTCTTAGGAGGAAAAAGTACAGCACAAGGGTCAGAACCACCTACACTGTGCTTCATCATTTCACCATGAGCAGAACTGACTGCTCAGCTGTGGCCCAAATGCAAAGTGCCAAGAGGGGTTGTAACTCAAGTCCATTGCCTCCCCCCGGTCACTAAACATCCCATGTGCCAAACCCTAATGGATTCCTCTATCACGATTCCTCCATCACGACCACAGCGGGGAACTTAACCTCACAGCTCTGCCACCGGAGGAAGCTCAGCAGTGGTGCAGAGGCTAAAATCAGAGGGTTATGGGGTCAGATGAATCAGGGGGGTTGATCTTGCTCCTGTGACTCATTAGCAGGGGTCCTCAAACTTTTTAAACAGGAGGCCAGTTCACTGTCCCTCAGACCTTTGGAGGGCCCTGGGAGGAGTCAGCTGCTAAGCAGGACAGGCAGCAGCAGCAAAAACTCCCAGTGGGCCGGATAACTGTCCTAAGCGGGCTGCATGTGGCCCATGGGCCATAGTTTGAGGACGCCTACTGTAGAGCTTCTGGCAAATTATTCAAGCCCTGGGATGATTACTGCTCACTCGGCTTCCCCAACATGCTTGGAGCTCAGGGTCCTTGGCAGGGCATAGGTGCATGTCAAGACCTTTAGGGGGCTGCTCCTCACCCAGACCTCATGCAGCCTCAGACAAGCAGCTCCGCTCCCTGGATGTTTCTGCCTGGTAGCCCTTGCCTTCCCTGGAAAAGGGCAGACATTGTAAAAAGTGTCATCTTTCTGTTCTGCGCTTGGGGTTCAGAAGCGCTTCTACCGAGGAGTGAAAGCCCACATAGCCAGGCACTGGGGTGGGTAGGCTGCCTCTCAGAACACTAAGTGATTACCCACCTAAGTGTTATGGCTTCTAGCTAATTTGGTTTCCTTTAAGAAAAAAAAAAATAGCAAGGAGAAATACACAGTTCAATCTTGGGCACCAAATTTATCTATTACTACAGTTACAAATAGGCTTGTTACATGTAAAAATATGTGTAGAAGATGGCTCCCTAGAAATACTAACTAAGATGCAGAGTGGTGTAGCAGCAGCCATGACCTGGCAGCCCGAGCTTGGAGGCTACTTTCTCCTCTTCAACCTAGCAGGATGCTGAAGACCCTGGGACCAGTTCTTCCTCTCTGGAAACACACAGAACCCACTGGTTGTAAATCCTCTGTTGTTTCCAGGACAAACTGAGCTGAGAGACACCCTTAGCCTCCCTCACTCACCCACCACACGTGCATATCCATATAACTCAGACAAAACAGACATCCTCACATGCCATCTGTCCAAGGCCCACAGCCTGAACTACCTGGCACGCAAACTGACAGGGTTTCTGGGAGGTGCTCCAGCAGCTAGTGGCCTAAGTTCCTCTTAACTTGCTTTATCCAACCAATGAGCTCAAGATGGCTGCCAGTGGCCCTGTGCTGGTCCTGGGGGGGACACCCCTACAGGAAAGAGCTTTCTTTTTAGAAGAAGAAGATAAACAGTAGACAAGAAAAACATGAAGTACGTCTAAGTTGGTTCTAAGATGATTCTAAGTTCTACTGTAGAAAACGGAGCTAATGTGGGCAGGTTGCGAACAGGGGGAGGAAGGTGGCAGGTGAGACAGTTTCAGACAGGGTGCTTAGGTGACTTGTGGAGGTGACCAGGCAGAAGTCCAATTTGGCAAGGACAGGCCACCATGTTTGGGGTGGGGAGTGCTGTCCCCTTTGGCCTCATGTTGGAAAAGAGTGCTGAGCACAGGGCATGGGGGCTAACGGAACACCACCATGGGGTGCTAGATCTTGGCCCAGGGCGGCCCCCAAAGGCCTGGCACTGCACACAGCGTAGCTACAGTGCCTCCCACCTACCTCCCCACAGGTCTCCGCTGTCTGGCCGAGCCCTAGGTATGTACATGTGTGGCAAGGGAGGGCAGCAGTCAGAGAAGTAAAGGCTAAGTGGATGTCAGACAACTAAACTAAGAGAGGTGGGACTACTTCCATGTGCAAAGACAGGTCCTCAGCAACTGAATTGAGTGCATGATGAGAGTGACAATCCTGTATGGCCAAGAGCCTTGCCCCCACATGATTCGTCCCATAGGGTGCAGGGTCACACCCCTGACAATATCACACCAGACTCTGCCACAAGGTGTCCCTGCTGGCTTTGAAGAAGTGGCTACTATGCTCAAGGGTGGTCTTGTGGCTAGGACTCAATGTGGTCAGCAGGAGCTTGGGACTCATAGTTGGCCTCAGTCTCACAGCTACAAGGACCTGAGTCCCACCAGCAACCTGAGCACACTTAGAGGGCCCTGAGGGCAGGAGAGAACATAGCCCCACAGCCACCTGCAGCCCTGAGCAAAGGCCCAGTTGTATTGTGCTCACACCCAGATCCCAAACTCTGTGACATGATAAATGTGTGTTGTTTCACTGTGCTTCATTTACAGTCTCCGATTACACAGCAGCACTAAAACATCTCACACTGCAGGCCAAGCCAAGTACTTGGCAAATGTCTGGTCAATATTTAAAGCATCCATATATGAAGTATGTTTAGTGCCACATTTGAAATAAACTTAGAAAACAAGACATTAGGGATGCCACTCATCCTCTCTGACCAGAACACTGTCTGTGGAAGCCACAGATGGACTTGGCCAGAATTTTGGGAAAGTGTTTGCACAGATGCTGTCTTCTGTGATCCTGGAGTCTCTTACAACCAAGGGCCACCTTGTCATCTCTACTTAATGTTCCCATTCCTACTTGGCCCTGCTTGTATAAAATGCAGTGGAAATTAGAAAGATGTGGTAACAGAGACAGCATAAGGAGTGGGAAGCCCCCGAGATGAAGCCCAGACAGAACTCAGCTGCCACTCCTCAGCAGCGCCTGACCCCCTCCTTCATTTAATTTGCAACTTCAACTGAACAGAAAGATGGCCAGAAAAGCCTGCATTATCCTACACTAATAACTTGCTACAGCTAGCAGGTGAGTTAGCCAAAGACAAGTGGCATAGTAGGACACAGCACTATGAAAGAGCATGGTGCTGATGTTGCAGGAGCGGGTGGCATGAGTGGCTGACATTCACAGTACCATGGCACAGCTGGATACAGTACTACAAAAGAGCATGGTGCTGATGTGGCGGGAGTGGGTGGTGTGAGTGGCTGACATTCACAGTACCATTCACCCAAACAGTGTTCCAGTTGCTGAGATCCCCTGGTAGACTATAAAATCGAGTTATTTGGCTGAATTTTATAAAGGTGAAAATCAATTGAAAAAAAACCTCAGAGGGCATCAGCATAAGAACCGTGCATACACTTATGGGCTGTGACCATTAGGAGGTAAAAGGTATCACCTGAAAGAAGGGGATGGGGAGCCAAGACACAGAGCAGGAGGGCCTGCAGCATGGTAGAGGCCCCCCCCAGCTGACCATTGGTATCCCCGCTGACTAGCAACAACCCTGGCTGAGTGCCAGGGTCACCCACAGATCAAGGTATCAAATGTGACATGCCTGAGCATGTGCGTGCTCTTCCAGCCCTGCTGGCAGGGTGGAGGAGCAGTCCCACCCACTGTCCCTTCAGCCAGGCCCTTCCTCATGTCCCTGGGCTGTCTCTGCTCTTCCCAAACTGTCCCCTGAAGCTTAAGGACAGGCCTGGGCAGACTTGACTAGACACAGCATCTTCATTCTGATGTCTGGGAAGACCCCCAAAGAGTCTGTCTCCTCCCAAAGATCAAAACGGAAGCTTCCTCTGACAATGCTAGTGTAATCAAGTGTGGCTTATTGGCCAGCTTCAACACTGATAGCCAAGCTGCTTCTCTGAAGTAATGTACAGGTGTAGAGGACACCAAGAGCCAGATGACCTCTGAGCAAAATGATTTGCAGCTGGGGGTGTACCCTTGGGCAATTCATCCACAGGTGCTCCTTGTGAAGAAAGAGCCCGAGCCCATGGCAATCCTTAGATATGTAGTCATTGTCTAATACTCCCCTCACCTGTCTTGTACTGTCTCAATAAAAGGCTACTGCGGAGGTTGCTTGGAGCTACCCTGCAATCAAGGTTAGCCCGCCTCCTGAAAGCTCCTATTTCTAATCTGCGTAACAGCTGGTTCCTTCCTGCAGCAGTCAAGACCGGGGCCCTAGGTGCTGCAACATCTAGCATAGTTGGCAGGATACAGCAGGACACAACAGGACACCAGGGTTGTGGACCAAAGGGGAAAGTGACACTTGGAAGTAAGTGAGGCCTTTGGCAGACAGTGGGAAGAAGTCAAAAAAGAAACTCCGCTCAGGGCAAGTGGGACCTTTGGCCAATACAGAATCTAGGGAACCTTGCTTGGAATAAGTGAGGTCTTTGATAAATAAGCAAAGACATTTAGAGAAAACAATGGGTAACTTCCTGTTTGGGGAGTCACGAGAATTAGAAACTGAGGAAGAAGGCGATGGTCAAGCCAGAATTTGAAAGTGAGGAGAATAGTGATGTTCAGTGAGAAGTTGGACCTAAGGAGAACTGGAAATCATAAAGCATACGATACAGACACAAATAAGCAAGGAATTACCTCTGTGGCCATTATGGCTGCTCAGATCAAACAACTGGAAGACTGGTAAATAGTCTCACTATCACAAATGCCAATGTAGAGCACCAATATTGCCCTCAGCACCTCCCTATGTAAATGAATCACCTGTGATTTCTGTTATGAAGGCTGTGTTAGAAGGGCGTAAAACTGGTGACTTTAAGTGAGAAGACACTTTGGGGCTTTTCCCGGTTACAGTCACTGATATTCGTCCTGATCCCCAACACCCTCAAGGAGGCCAAAGTTTTGATCACCATATGATCACCTTGGTGGTCCTTAAAGATTTGAAACAGGTTACAGCACAGTATGGTATGTAATCCCTGTTTTCTAGAGTTCTGTATAGGGGCTTGCATAAGAGCAGTGGCTCATTTCTTATGACTGGGACA